TGTGATGTCCACATTCAACTTCCTGACAACATTGATAAAAGAAATAGAAAATCAAGTATGAAGAACCGCTTACTAGTAAATATCATACACGGCATGAGATACTTGCTCTTGTTGACACAAGGAATCGGCTGTAATTAGCTTGAATACCTTTGCTGAATCGAAACCCGGACTTTAACGTTACAGGGTGTGCCATTCAGACAAAATTCACTGTACAGCCCATGAATTCTAACTTCTCCCAATCTGTGATATACAGCACATCTGCTAGCCAATGTCATCGGTGCGTATTTTTCCTGATACACAACTCGGTAGACCTCAGTGGTTATGACTTTTCACTAAAACTCCAGGTAACCTCGTGTATTCGGTCAATGATGACCACTAGATTAATCATCATGAGGTGACATTAGTTAGAAACCAGAGAGTACTAAGCAGGCATATCAAAGGATCCCATCCCAGTAGTTGAACGGTCGGTGGGCTAGCCTCGTAAACTGAAGGCTTGAGGTTCAATGCATGTTGGAGTGATGGATACGCACTGTTAAACAGTTCAACATTCCTTGGTTTTCAAGAGTTCACTAACCAATGTTAGCTCATCCTTCAGAAATATGTTTTTGTATTTACATTGACTATTTATAAGTGGGCATAATGGAAATCCCAGACAAATCTCGTTAAAATGGAAACTTTATTATTATTCCCTTGAGTTCCGAGTGGGGCATAAGACTTCAACCGTTGTATTTCTACATTTCATCATGTTCTCTGCAGTTACCTTTATATGGCTTCACTATTGACCATAAGCTTTCAATCCCTCCTCAAACAATCTCCATGTCACCCTATCCCTCAATAGTCTTCTCAACATATATCCAATCTATCTATATTTCATTCTACCTACATGTCAAGCGTCAGGTTCTCGAGTGGTTCATTGTCAAAGTTCTTTGTTGTCTGCTTATCCATTTTGGTCATCTGATCCTCATTATAGAGCCTGCGAAGGCAGCTGTGGATAAAAGTATGCAGCCTGGTGAGAGTGCTTTCGGCAATGCGCCAAGTCTTTGAACTACAAAGAAGCACAATTAAAAATTCAAATCTTGTTCTGTATGCTGCATGCAACGGATTTCTCGACTGATTTCAGATTAACGAAGGTCTCTCCTTCTTTGACATCTTCATAGGTGCCGCCCGATGACAGTTTAAACGAAGCTGAACACTCAGAAGAAAAATGAAAAATGAGGCTTCCTTTAGATTTCTCAGATTGATAGTGATTGGTTAACCAACAGCCGAAGACTTCATGTATTAACATAACATAACATAACATAAGCTTTATTCCAAATCAGTACTTGTGATACAGAATGGAATTCTCAGCATTTTACTACAATATTGCATCCAGTTTTTTACATTAACAATAAATAAAGTTCTACATAGATTAAAGTTATCTCAACAACATATTAGCATTTCGGTAGCAAAGCCAAAATTTAAGTGTTTGAAGGTGTTAGAAAAGTAGATACTACTAGCATATTTACTGGCGTAAGCGATAGCAAAATGGTCGAGATATACAGAGTGTGAAAGAACGAACAAGAATGTTTTAAGTAGAGTTTGCAAGGAAGAGAGAAACAAAATAGCACATAACAAAAATAAATACAGAATGAAGAGCGAGAAAACGTTGTACCTATAAATGATGTGAGTTGGAAAGACGAGATCCATTGGTTCTACTGACTATTTAATAAGTTAAAGGTTTCATGCCTGATGCATTCTTTATCGCACAGAACACGGGCTAGGTAGGGTATGGATGAGTTTTTGTACTTACTAGTGCGGGCATATAGTTTCCTATATAGGCTTCTTGTTTTCCCTGAAGAGATACATGAGGAGAGTTGTGAATGTAGAGGGTGTTGTGAGTCAGATAAAATGGATTTCGCCCATTTTTCACATGAGTCCATATGCCTGTCCACCAGAATATTAACAAGCTGGCTAAGTGGCAAACTGCTTACCCTGCTGACAACCTTTAACATCCTACGTAATAAGGTATAGTCTTTCTTCAATAGCCCAGGAAAGACTAAGGGGGAGCAATAGAGAATAATAGGCAGAATACGGGAGTTAACAAATTGTAAGAGTAAGGGTTGGGTTACACCAGAATGTCTTAACTTCTTGATGTAGAAGGTAAGACGGTATATTTTCTTGGAAATCGTCAAGATATGAGACGACCAGGAAAGATCAGAAGATAAAGTGACGCCTAGGTATTTAATTTCCGACTTGGTTTCTATTTCACTGCCATCTATGTTGCACACCTCGTGAGTGCTAACCAGTTTGTTTAGGTCAGATTTATGCCTAAGGGTGAAATTAACTGTTTGGCATTTGGAGAGGTTTAAGGTTAGACCGTTTTCCTTGGACCATTGGCTAATTTCCGATAAGAAGCCATTTAGTTTAGAGCAGTCACTTTGACATTTGACAGGCAAAGATACAGTCAGGTCATCAGCATATTTGACAAAGTTAATGTCATTTGAAGACGGTAGGTCATGTAGGAAGAAAGAAAAGAGAAGTGGGGAGATTACAGCACCTTGGGGGACACCAGCTTCTGTGAGCACAGCAGAGGAGGATTGGCCTTTGTATACGGTGTACTGCATTCTGTTTGAAAAGTAGGAATGCAACCAGTTAGTGACCCAGGACTCGGTTTGTGTCATGGAGAGCTTATTTAGCAAGAGACTTCTAGGTACAGAGTCGAAAGCAGAAGTAAAGTCAAGAAACGTGCAACGGACATATTTGGCACCTTTGTCTAATGATGAGACAATACTGTTGTGTGTATTGATGTCATGTGTAGTTTTGGCCATTCCTGTCTCTTCTCCAACTTAATCCTATGTCAGCTAATATTGCTCAACGACGAAGGTGATGGTTTGGGTGCCTAACATCTGTCCCAGCCATCTTCATTGACACGGTTTCTCAACCTCATTGACTGACTTTCCTTCTGTACCTAACAATTTACCTCTAAAATTAATACTACTCACCACATTATGCCACTTAATACTGGAAACAGAATGTGAACACTTATGGTCTGCACATCCTCGGTGGCCATGTCTCACAGCCACAGAGAAGGACAGAACGGATTACTGCGCAATAAACACGTCCTTTGACCTATAGCCAGATACCACGTCTGTGATAGATGACGTAATTCAGAAAGTGACACATGAGCCCTTTGTATCCAGGCTGAGATCCCATTAACAACCAAATCATTTAGGTTGATTTCACTTGCAAAATAAGCGAAGTGGTCAACACGATCAACTATTTCACCCCTTATCTTTAAACTAGGAGTCAGTGCACACCAGCCCTGCATTATCACCTTGCATCTGATAGGGGTAAATCCCATTCCAAACATTCCAAGGCTTCTACTCAGAAGACTCTACATTGTGTCAGCGTCCTCATTTAGGAGGACAATACTATCTTCACACCCCACATCGATGAGACTGTTTCCTAGTAACAATTCAATCCCTAAGTCACTGAAGTTGGTCACGGTTAAATCCATTAGTACATCTATGGCGATGATAAACAAAACTGGGAACAGTGGGCATCACTGACAGATACTACTACTACTACCCTCATCTCGGCCTAAGGCTTACTTGGTTTTCTCCGGTTTGTTTCTCCCGAGCACCACCTAGTCTACACATGATTATTCGATCTAGAACTTTACATTACTATGTTAGTCAAGCTAGTTCTCGTATCGTTATCACCACAGGAACACTTCCTATAAACTGGGACAATCAATGGTTTACACCAGTTGGATGGCACTTCGTTTGATTCCAACAAATTACCTAAAATCTTGGTTCATCCAGACAACAGTTCCCCATCACCATCTTTAAGCATCTCCGGAATTGTCTTATCAGGTACCGCTACTTTGCCTCGTCTCAGATTGGATACAGTCTTGACGATTGATGTCTACATCTTATATAGGCATATGTTAGATGCTGATCAAATTTTTCATGGCTATACACCCTTTAGTTCACTCCTAGAAATAGGCTGTTAAAAATATCTGGAGAAAAATTCGTTAATTTAAATCAACTGTTTGAATGCAGTAAGTTACCCGATCTCAGGAAAATTGAGTTGAATCATCTCCAAATGGATTAGTAGCACAGTATTATAAATACTTAACATATAACAACTAGTTCCAGTTCATAGAGCGTATAAAAACCTATAATCTCTGAGCAATTAACAAGTGCACATTTACATGACAAACAGAAATATCGGCGTCTATCATTCCCTATTACTGAAGAGTATTTTTTGTAGGAAATGCTGAAAACATTTTAGAAGGAGCATTCAAAGTTTTTAAGTGAATTTTAGTGTCGATACGCATAAAGGAAGAGGGTGGAATAGCACGCGTAATAGTTATTTTAGTAGTCCAATGCAAGTAGGATAAAATTCTGGTCACTTTCTTGTTGTGGCTAACTGGAAAAGTAGTTACTCTAGGTGAATATTAAAAATACTTGTATGGAGGATTTTAAGCAATTCAAAAGAAAATAATGCCAAAAGATAACATAATGCACTACATAAAACTAAGTCAACACGTCACTCAGTGTTGTAGTTGCAACCCTATTTCTCCCGTTACGAAACGCACAGGAATTTAGATAGTGAGTTCGAGAATTTAATTAACGATTGGTCTTCACACTTCATGCTACCAAACGAAGCTATAATGACAGCGGACTAAGGGGGGGTGCTAAATTCAGACTACACTTGAAAATCCTCTCCCTCTCACGACAATTTGCCAAATGCTGCTTTGATAATATGCGCTTCAAATAAGAAAACAGCTTATCTAGGAAAAACGTACATTTAGGATCTGTGTATAGAAATGAAAAGAAAGCGAGAAATGAACAAGATGCGTTATAGGCTACTTAAATGACTGTATTGTATACGGACTATCAATAGGCTGAAAATAATCAGCAGGACAACGGCACACCAACTTGCAGCAATTCAAATCTCTTAGTACATCCTCTTCCATACCTAAAGTAGATTAGAATAAAAGAAAAACCACTTACCAATTATATAGTCCGAAGGCCGGAATTCTTCATCTCGACAACCTGAGACTGGAATCAACCAAGTCAAAAAACAACAATTATCACCAACGAAATCCGTTGCAAGTCCTAACAGTAATTTAAGTAACAAGCTTTCGTACCTCTTATTTGAGCATAATACACCTCTCCATCCATATCCAACAGTGAAACTATGTCACCAACACGATACCAAACATTCTTGATGGTAGGAGAATCCAAAATCGCAACTTACCTCATGGAAAACACAGTTTTTAAGAGTGATAAGGGCTGGGGAAATTGCTAATTTACGTGCGTCTTTTTTAAGCACATGACGTCTAGAACGCGATCCTGTCAAGGCCCTTTTTCTGCTTTGACTGCTTCGATTGGAAAAAACCCGAGATCTCAGCGACTTTCGAAGCTCGGTTGTTGACTTTGGTTTCGGAAAGGTGGGTGAGAGAATAACTTCATCATTAGACTTATGCCGCCTAGTTCTGATAGTAGTTGGGGCCGGGATTTGAGAAGTTCCATCGGAATTAGGTGTCTCTGATAGATCTTCTGAAGTTTATACCATTTAATTAAAATTGATAAATACTTTGCGATTCAGACTCAAAGCCAGGAGTACTCTTTATATCACCAGAATTATTCATAATTAGAGAGACAGTAGCGTAACAGTCACAAATGCGCAGCTATTCCAATATCCAATATCGTTTTCACGAGCTAGTATAAACCAATTTGATTTCTTTGTGCTCGCTTCTTGATTGTGAGGTATAGGTTCCTGATCTTCGGCAAACTTCTGTGTAGCTCGTCCCGCCACTCGACTGTCGCAGCTTTGGTTGACTCCAAAGGGAGTAGTGCCGGGATTAATTATATGTGGTTTGTAGTATGAGGCGTGTTAAGACTGTTGCTACTGTGAATGGGGTTGATCCTTTCGCTAGTTAGTCCTCCGATATCGTCGACAAGAGAAAAGAGATAATAATAATGCTAATAATAGATATAATTAGTGAAGTTATTCAGACTAACAGACATAAACGGAAATAGGAAAGCGTAACAACAGTCAGCTGATTAAATTTGAAGAATTATATATATATATATATATATATTTATATATATATATATCGGTAATAATAATAACACTAATAAGTTGCCAGGAGAGTAAGACGGGAGAGGATGTAAAGAAGTAAAACGACGAGTTTAATTATCCACCCCTGAATGGTGTATGCGATTTTAAGGGGATAGGCGATTTAGATGCAGTCCTTGTGTCGCTGCATGGTTGTCCAGCCTTCGCTTAAAGGCGTCCAAAGACGGTGCCATAGCTACATCTGCCGGTAAGGAATTCCAGGGACGGTAAACCCGCAGTGAAAAGAAGTGGGAGCGCAGCCGGGTCCTTACCCTCTGATGAGCTATCCTTCTGGGATTTCCACGTGTTAGCCTATACCTACTCAATGGCAGAACACCTTTGTTTGCATGATTCTGATCGTTTGTTATTTTGTAGGCAGTAATCAAATCACCCCCAAGCCGACGGTAGCTAAGTGTGAACAGGCCTAATTTCTTCAGCCTTTCATCATATTGTTTATTTTGGAGACCAACCACTCCTTTTGTTGCCCGTCGTTGGACTCTTTCCAATAGGTTGGCGTCTCTTCTCAGTATTGGGGGTGCAATAATATAATAATAATAATAATATATTTCTTCCTGTTTATGCAGGAACATACCAATTGTGCAGGCATGGATAAGTTAATATAATATTGTGCATCTCAAAGTGTGGCCTGACGTATGTTTTGTACCACCTTAGAAAGAGCTCAGGAGTGAGTGCGCCTAACTGTCTATGCGTAAATTGCATGACCGCATATGCCCTTGCTACATCCCCTGTGTAATTTACGCTTGTGTCCATTTTTTCCGTTAGAACTAGACCTAAGTCGCGTTCCGACGTTGTGCAGGACATGCTTTCGTTGCACAGGGTGTAACTTGCATTCTGCAATCAACAAGTGCGCAACTTCACTACTTTGCACTTTGTCAGGTTGAAAGTCATGCCACTGGCCACCGCCCAGTCTTCCAGAAGGTTTGGATCTTCCTGCAGCCAGTCTGAGTCCTCCGGATACTTTATCGCCCTCCATATCTTTACGTCGTCAGCGTACAGAAGAGTCGGGCAGCCTAGACGGCGTGGTAGATCACTGATAAAAATCAAAAACATCAGTGGTCCTAGAATAGAATCCTGCGACACTCCTGATGACGAGCTGCGCGAAGATGATCGAACTCAATTGACATTAGTGAGAAATTGCCTGTCAGCTAGGTAGTCCTTTAACCATGACAGAAGTGGCTCTCCTACACCTGCCTGGCTCATTTTATGTAGGAGATGGTCGTGGTTAACAGTGTCAAATGCCTTCTCAAAGTCTAGGAAGACCACATGAACTGGAACATTCATATCCCAGCGTGATGTCCAGTCGTCCCGAGCTGACAGTAGGTCAGTAACGCAGGATCCGTCTTTTCTGAAACCATGTTGGGCTTCATGTAGTATATTAGACCTATCGAAATATTCCCTGATGTGGTCATCAATAATACTCTCCAGTACTTTTGACACCAGTGGAAGTGGAGCTACTGGTCTATAACTAGTGGCGTTTTGCCTGTCCCCGCCTTTGAAGATTGGAGAAAGGATGGCTCTTTTCCACTCCCTTGGCAGTGTCTCCGAATCCACTGAGTGTTGGAATAAGTTGCACAGGGGTCTACAGAAAGCTTCGGCGCACTGTTTCTGCTATGTACTGGTCGAGTAATTAATAGTCCTGACTCAAAAAGGCGGAAATCAGAAAAACCACCAGGTTCACGATGATACTTGTATTTTTTCAAACAACAAGGAAAATCAATGTCACACAAGTGTATGAGCGAATGTTCAAAAATGAACGAATCAATAGACAGTCTTAACATGATTGGTTGTAATGTCATGTGACAACAAGGTCAGACATGGTTGTTAGTTAGCGGACGGACAAATACATATTGTCAATTATTATGGAGTACCGATTCATATATACATAGCAAAATATAACAGACTGTCAAAAACAAACACACATATTATGTGGATACATATCACCTCCCCTTTTGAGAAGATTGATGATTAATAGCGTGCTTTCTTGGGGTTTATCTGAAACCGTTCAATTTGTTGTTGACGTCTGTTGCTTCGTCTGTTTGTTGAGTTGTGAGACCATGATGGGAGAATATGTCAGTGAGAGCTTTGAGAGTCTGGGACGTTGTCGACGAAACCATTGGTATAACTTCTGGCCACTTAGAAAAAGCGTCTACCACCACTAAATAATATGCACCATTTGTAGGGCCAGCAAAATCAATATGATTTCTGGACCAAGGATGGGCAGCTGGTGGCCACGGTACGGGAGGTACCTGGTGGGGTAGCTTTGCTGATTGTTGACATTTTGAACATCGTTGAACAAAATCGATAATATGCTTATCCATATTAGACCAGTATGCGTAACTGCGGGCAACACTCTTCATCCGCTGAATACCAGGATGTCCCATATGAAACTGTTTCAGGAGTGTATTTAGTAATGCTTCAGGTATCACTACGCGTTCTCCGAACATCAAGCAATCTTTTACGACACATCAGGAATCACGATGAGTGAACAAGTGTTTTAGGTCTCCACTATATTTAATATTTGGCCAATTGCTGGATACATACTGTGTAGAACGTCGTAAGGTGGCATCGGTGCTTGTAGTTCACTGGATTTCTGCAAGCGTTACTAGTAGAGATAGAACAGCATTGTCGATGAGGTTAACTGCATAGTCTTTCCTGGCGATCGATGCAATTACCGTATCTCCACTTGATGCAGGATAGTTGCTAATTAACCGAGATAGAGCGTCGGCTTCACCAAATTCGTTGGTTCGGTTGTATTTAATATCGAAATCGTATCCAAGTAATATTACTGCCCAGCGTTGTAGTCGGTTAGCTGCATGTACAGGGATACCTGATTTAGATCCGAAAATGAAAATTCACGGTTTATGATCTGTCAGCAAAGTAAATCGGCGGCCGTAGATCATTTTATGGAAACGTCGTACGGCGAAGACTAAAGCTAAGGCTTCTTTTTCGATTTGTGCATATTTCTTCTCTGCCGCAGTTAGTGTTCGAGATGCATGCATTATTGCTTTTTGTGAACCATCTGGGAAGACATGTAAAATGACAACTCCCACTCCGCTTGCTGAAGCGTCCGCTGCAACTATAATTGTGTCAGAAGCAGTTCAGAAGTTAACATAGACTTCAATTTTTCAAAAGCTGATCTGCAAGCTTCAGACCGTTTCCAGGTTGCGTTCTTTTCGAGTAGTCGATTGAGAGGATGTCGAACATTATGCAGCGCAGGCAGAAATGCCGAGTAATAGCTAATTAATCCCAAGAGAGCGTAAAAAAGGCACGTCAGTAGGTGCAGGCATCTCTTTTATAGCACGTATATTGTCAGGATCTGGACGTCCACCCCATGTATCAAATATAAATCCAAGGCATTTGACAGATCTCAAGGAGAACTGACACTTCTCTGAGCGTGGTCGTAGACCATTCTCCTGCACGCGTGACAAGACAGCTTCTGTCCTGCTGTAAAGTTCGTTTATAGAATTCGCTACCACCAAGATATCATCAAGATAGACGGCAACACCCGGAAAACCTGCCAAGATAGTATCCATCAGTTGTTGGAAAATATCTGGGGCAGTTTTAACTCCGAAAGGTAATCTGCTGTATTGGAACAGACCGCGATGTGTATTAATGGTAAGGAGTTTCCGGCATTCTGGTGCTACTTCAGCTTGTAGATATGCGTCAGCAAGATCCAGTTTTGCAAAATAGGATCCACCATTTAAAACAGTGAATGAATCATCCGGCATAGGTAAAGGATAGTGGTGCTGTTCTAATGCAGCATTCAACCCAGTAGATAAATCAGCACAAATACGTAGGGACCCATTCGCTTTCTGCCAACCAAACCAACTTTCAGACGTATGGCGAACAGTCAATGATTTTAAACCTAGGATTACGCCGACGTTTCACATGGATCTTCATAGTAGCTGACGTACGTCACGCTATACTAGGTGCAGACTTCCTAAGTCACTTCAATCTGTTAGTTGATATCAGCAAGAAAAAACTGATTGACAATTGCACCCAACTCAAGATCCACGGTATTACATGTGACTACTCTGTTCATAGCATCTGTATAGAAAAGCCGGAGAGTGAAATGTTCTCTGCTTTATTGCAACGATTTCCTAAAATCCTTAAACCATCATACAACGTCGAAGATATATCTCATACAGTTACGCATAAGATCATCACAACAGGACAACCTGTGAAGGCACGTCCACGACGGTTACCACCCGATAAACTAGCAGCAGCTAAGTCGGAATTCGAACATATGATGCAGCTAGGCATCATACGACCATCTAACAGTCCATGGTCTTCACCTTTGCATATGGTACCTAAAACTAATCACGACTGGCGACCATGTGGAGATTATCGCGCTTTGAATAACGCTACGGTCCCAGACCGTTATCCTATACCTCATCTCCACGACTTCTCCTTGACCTTACATGGAAAGACCGTTTTTACTAAAGTTGACTTGGTCAGGGCATATCATCAAATACCAGTCGCTCCAGAAGACATTGCAAAAACAGCAATTATCACGCCTTTTGGATTATTCGAATTCTTGAGAATGCCTTTCGGACTAAAGAATGCTGCTCAAACATTTCAGCGTTTTATGGACCAAGTTACCCAAGGTCTTGATTTCGTCTTTGTATATATCGACGATGTCTTAATTGCCAGCTCATCGATGGAAGAACATATGGAACACTTAAGCTGTTATTTCAAAGGTTTGAACAATTTGGAGTTGTTATCAATCCAAAGAAATGTATTTTTGGTTCCCCTTCCATTGAATTCTTAGGACATCGAATAACTGCCGAAGGCATCAGACCTACCGAAGATAAGATAAAAACTATTAAGAACTTTCCCGAACCTGATTCCTTAAAGAAACTTAGACGTTTTCTCGGGATGTTCAACTTCTACCGACGTTTTATTCCATCATGTGCCTCCATAGTTCAGCCACTGACCGACCTACTTAGATGCAATTCGAAGAAATTTCAGTGGTCTGAAGAAGCAAAAGCAGCATTTAATAATGCAAAAGATGCCTTATCCAACGTTGTAATGTTATCTCACATCAACCCAGAAGCTTCACTCATTTATGTACAGATGCATCGCAGGTAGCAGTGGGAGCAGTTTTACAACAAAAGTTCAATAATGACACCACTCCACTTGCTTTCTTCTCCAAGAAGTTGGAACCTGCGCAAACTCGTTACAGCACTTTTGGCAGAGAACTGTTAGCCATCTACCTAGCAGTGAAACATTTCAGCTTCTTACTACAAGGTCGACATTTTACTATCTTAACCGACCATAAGCCTCTTTGTTATGCTTTCACCACTTCGTTGGACAGACACTCTCCGAGAGAAGCCAGACAACTGGATTACATCTCACAATTCTCAACAGACATCCAGTTCATCAAAGGAGATTCCAATATCGTAGCCGATTCTTTGTCTCGATGTGACGTTAATCACCTATCTTCGATAGATATTAGCTTAGACAATATTGCCAAGCTGCAGAAAAATGACGCCGAACTCCATACTTGTAGACGAAACTCCTCCCTACAGTTGCAGGATGTACCTATTCCCCTGTCTGATACAACTATCGTCTGCGACGTTTCAACGGGCGTTCATAGACCTTTTGTTCCACTAAGTTGTCGAAAACCTTTGTTTGAACATCTACATTCATTGTCTCATCCTGGAGTGCGTGCTACAGTCAAGTTGATCAGCGAGCGTTTTGTTTGGCCCAAGATGAACTCCGATATTCGGAAATGGGCCCGCCAATGCTTGCAATGTCAAAGATCCAAGGTACATCATCATACCGTCACACCTCCAAAACAGTTCAATTTACCGGATAAACGATTTCAACACGTTCATATAGATATTATTGGACCATTACCGCCATCCAGAGGATTTACTCATATACTTACTGCGATTGATCGATTTACCCGATGGGCTATTGCTTGTCCACTCAACGATATATCTGCAGAAAATATCGCTTTGGTTTTCTTAGATCGTTGGGTGTCAAACTACGGAGTACCCACAACTATTACAACAGACCGAGGAGCTCAATTTCAATCAACTCTGTTTCGAGAGTTTACGAGACTCCTTGGAGTGAACCATATCTCCACTACAGCTTATCATCCTGCAGCGAATGGTCTGGTGGAACGTTTCCATCGACAACTGAAAAGCTCCTTAATGGCACAAGCTGACTCATCTAAGTGGAGTGAACACCTACCATTAGTTCTTCTCAGTATCCGATCAACTGTAAAAGAAGATTTGGGATGTACACCAGCTCAACTTGTGTATGGTACTACCCTCACATTGCCTGGTCAGTTAGTTCCGTCTAATGATTCAACTGAAGTAAATATCTCCGACTTCACCAACCGCCTTACCCAGCAATGCTTCAGCTTCGACCAGTAGCCCCTCGCCAATCACTTCAGAAAGCTCAAGTTAATAAGAATCTACTCACTAGCAAATTTGTATTTGTTCGCGTCGATGCCATTAGAAAAGGTTTACAACATCCATATGAAGGTCCTTTTCTAGTACTTAAACGCACCGATAAATACTTCACGCTGAACAAACATGGTAAACCGGAGACTGTTTCTATCGATCGTCTTAAACCAGCGTACACCGACAGCGAATATGAAACACTAGCAACGCCGCACCAATAAACAATCAGAAAGTCAATGCAACTCCAACTCTCCCGCTCTTCACACTTCCCCCTGTACAGACACGCAGTGGACGGCAGATCTGTAAACCTGCCCGCTATGTTCATTTCATTGACTGACATAAACGTTAACCTCATTTAGACATTCTTCTCATTACTATTGTTGTCGACATTCATTTCATTATAACCATTAATATTTATTAGTATTATTGTTTGCTGTTCGTTAACTGTACTGCAAGCACACGCATTCACCAAGTATATGTATATATCTATTTATATATGAATTTCACAAATGTTAACGAACATGTCATGGTTTATTATGTACATAAATTTTTTATTTAAAATTATAACAAGTTTTGATTTTTTTAAATTCCTGTATGTGCTTGTATGTGCTAAACTTTATACGACACGGATGCATTCCATACATCCTGATCTAACTTTGTATCCTTATTGTTGTGTGTTATTTTTTGTTATCCTTATTGTTGACATTATCCCTTATTTATATTGCTTATATTCATGTAATCGTCCACGAGGACAGTACTGATGGTCCTCCGGACCTCTAAGAGGGGGAGCCCTGTGGAGTCCTCAAAAATAAACTTATCCAAATTTTACTACTATGTAAGAAATGAACATATTGTACATACTTTGTTTTAACCATAAACTCTGTACTTTGAACTTTACCTCGGGTTTTGAATAAATATATAGTTCTGCCTTCGACTCTCCGTCTTCTCCACCATCTCAACTGCCGTCGATCAATTTTAATCACCTGCTTTCTATCTCAAATTTTTGCAGGAGCACCGTAGTTTCTTCCTACGTACTTTGGTCGACCTCCGGCAACGTCAACATTGGAGAATTAGTACTGGAGCAGTCTTCCCGCAGCGCCTGGAGTCTATTACGTTTATTGTGGATTTTGGATCTTTGTAAACCCAAGTAACGAAACTTTAATATATTCTTCCCGTAACTAAACTGATTTGGTATTTTATTTTCTATTTGAATTTGGGTAACTAAGCTAACAGAGTAAAAGGTCCACCACACAATTCATGATACTCTTCACACATCCTCTTATCTATTCAATACCAATTACCACTGCGATCGCTTGTCACTCATTCTGCCTCAGTTCTAGTAACGGTGACGTATGCGAGCCTCAGTCGTCTACACCCTCACTCCCCGGCGTGTGGGACCGCAGCTAATCATTATCCCCGTATGCATTTCATTCTCAGAAATAGCCTCTATACCGTATACGACTCATCTGCCGACTTTAACATCAATCAATCCATTCACGGATGTGGAAGACTCGAAACAACTTCGAAAATAATCACGACGAAAATTTTAACAAAATTATGCAATAACAACAAGGTACGAAAACGACGGGTAAACACAATGAATCCAAAATAGACCAATTGATATGACACACCACACATGTATACAAACAGTACACACAAACTCGCGGATCATGTCTTGATGGAATTCCTTCGAAGAATCGCAGGACTTACACCAATACGCCTGCAACCCTTCCCAGGTTGACGCCCTAGGTCGGAAAATGGGCAAGTGGTTCATCCTCCGACTCTCGACTCTCAGCACCTTCCAGTACACCCAGTTTCCTAATATCTCGCACCTGTATGCCACAACTTGTTCTCACCTCAACTGTCCTCACCAACCCATGACCACTACAGAGTAGCCTTTCTACCATTCCCAAAGGCCATTTGCCTGTGGCACATTTATCTGCTACTAAGCCTGTATCACCAACCTTTAAGTTTCTGCACAACTTTCTCCACTTGTCTCTGGTTTTCAGTGTTAGGACATACTCCTTTACCCATCTTTTCCAAAATATATCTTTCATGTGCCTGGCTTGTTTCCATCCTTTAATCGTGGGTATTCGTTCCGCGCTCGAGTCCTCTATACCAGGGTCGCCTCCCAATAACAATACTTTATTTGCGGTTAACACATCGAAATCCTTGATGTCGTCCCTCACAGGTAATAGCGGCCGGTCATTTAGTATTCGTTCAGCTCTACAGAAAATGTCTCCAGCGTTTCGTCATTCAAACTCTGGTTTTTAATTATGGAGCTTAAAATACGCTTGATAATTCCTATAAGTCTTTCCCATAGCCCACCTCTATGGCTGCCATATGATGGGTTGAAGTGCCACTCGATGTTTCTTTTCAGTAACTCTTCATGAACTCTCGTCTGAGGACCTTCGAAGTACTCTTTAAGCTCGGCGTGACAGCCAACAAAATTAGTCCCTCTGTCACTGAACATCATCTTCGGTGCACCTCGGCTATTTTTAAATCTGCGTAATGCCAACACGACTGAATCAGTAGTTAACGTATGAACTATCTCAATATGCACAGCTCTCATCTTCAAACAGGTCAATAAACAGTCATGTCTTTTACATTGGGTTCTGCCTCTCTTCACCACAAAAGGTCCGAACAAATCCACCCCAACGTACTCGAATGGATAATTCCCTTCAGAAACTTACCACCCTGGGAGTGGTGCCATCATCTGCTGTGCTGAACGAGCATTCCGCAGTTTGCATTCCATGCACTTATCAATTATTTTACGGACAGCAGTACCTCCGTTCACTATCCAAAACTTACATCGAATACTTGATAGTACTTGTGAAGAACCCAAATGACCTTATTGGATGGTAGCAAGGTAATAAGGCCGGATGATGGGTCTCATATGACGATTCTAACATTTGTAGACGTCCACCAACTCTAGCTATCCCTTCGGAAACTATCGGAGATAATCGATCTAACCACACCTTGAAATCTGAGAAATCATGACTATCCTCCTTGACAATTCACCCAACGCTTCCCGCTGAGCAGCCCTCAAAATCACTAACTCCACATTTCTAATACCTTCGACTCTCAAAGGTCCCACATTCATATCTTCGTATCCTGAAATATGCATGACCTTTAAATACGTAGCATATCGTGCCAACCACGCATAGCCCTCAGTAGTTTGTACCAAGAAGAATAATATTTAAAAAGTGGATGTAAACCTGAATGTCTTTCCTGGGTAGATGTTAAATTGACACGTGTCTTAAACTCCAAGACACACTCATTTATCGGTGGTTCATCTTCTCCACTAGGCCACATACTATCAGCCCGTAGCAAGAACTCTGAAACTTTCCACCTC